ATCAACTGCAGATGTGTGATAAAAATGCTATATAAATTATTGCTGTTTTGTGTATAAATTAATTAATATGTAATTGTTATAAATTAGAATTAGTTTATATCTAATGTGCATATTCTTTGTACTACGTTAATATTTATATTTTATGCTCTGTAAGTAAAATGTTTCATCTAAAGAGTGTTTGTTTTTATTCGAACGATCGACACGATGGTGTCGTTCTAACCTAGCATCAATGCTAGTTGCGGAACATTTACGTTGTGTACTCGCAATTATTTTCGCATAAAAATACATTTAGCAAAAAATGTGTAGTGTATTGTAACGGAATTCTTTTTGTATTTTTATAGAATCATCTAAAATGGCTGCTTGCGTAGCTGTTATTGGCAAAGATGCAAGTATACACAGCTATTTTCCGCTTGATAGGTTATGACGTAATCATCAACACAAATTTTCCAATAAATACAATGAAGCACATTTATTTCAGCGAGTTTCTTTACATTGAATTATTCTAAGTAATAATAAATATCTTGTAGAACTCTCCAAAATTTATCAAAATACATCAATGTACGGATGAAGCTGCTGCATTGCAATTTCATTACAAAGTACATACATCAATTGATATTATAGAGGAAAAGTTGAATGTAGGAAATAAAACGACAGTTGATATACGCGATTTATACTTAGGCTTGTTATTTGCGACTGAAGAATACAAAATGTATGTAATATTACTCTTGTATAACATATTGCTCTATCTATATCATACCTACAAATTATGCATTAAATATGTTTTAATATTTCTGTTTTCAGATATGGTTATGCTACAAACACAAAGATTAAATTTGTCATAGTATTGCAATCATCTAATGTATCATTAAGGGATAACGAAATAAAAATAGTAACATTCTTTTTATACCTTATACATAAACTTAATATTAATTATGATTTGCAAATAATCTGTAAATGTTTGATAATCTGTTGATAGATTTTTAAGAAATTACACGCTGCATACTCCAATGCTGTTTGCAATCCATTTTACATTCCAGGTGACGAAATAAAGTCCAAGTATGTGAATTTATATATATATATATATATATGTATCTGTATGTTATAGAAAATATATAAAAACATTATAATTATTTATATTGAATTTTTTAGGTCATTTGATACGTCAGTGCTGGAAATAATGAGTGTTATATAATTTATAAATATGTTAAAAGTAATTAAAGAAATATTTCACACATTGTCGCAAAATGTAAAATTCACATACAAATGCTTTATGTAACTGATAATAAATTATATATAATAACTTATATTTTTGTAAAGTTGTATAACCAACTTTTTTCAATTATCCTTTTTTATCTTTCCTATTTGTACACTTTCCGTGTTCCTTTTTATTTATATTTTATATATCATTTTTTTACGTAATTATATATTTAATATTTTATTGTTGCTAGAAAATTATGCGGCATATCCGCTTGACTGCATATAAATCGAACCTTAAAAGGAATTAAATTCAGAATATAACTCGCTAAAACGAGTATCGCATTAAAAAAATATCCTACATGTTCAAAATTCTTTTTGATTGGTTTAATCGCGCATGTGTCTTCTCAATCGGATTTATAATTCGTTCTTGTACTTCCTGACGTCCAAAAGCAGCGAATCACAGACAGATGGAAAAACAAATCGTTTCATAGAAACGGTTCACGCAGCATGGCGGTAGCGCCCTGAATCGCAAACGTTTCCTATTTGGACCGTCATCGTGCATCGAAGATTTTTGGATTTCTGTGATTTTTTGAAGAAAAGTATTTGCGTGCACCGATTGATTCACCATGGTAATTATCGCGCTTCAATAATCTCGCCTGTGTAGTAAATGCTTTTCCGATCGCCAGAACCCGGTCTTCAGGAAACATGACAAACGGCTCACGTGTCGTTGAAGGAATAAATAATAATTGCACGATAAATGATTTTGATGCATTTTGTAGACACAAAGATTTTCAATTGGCTTTTAAAATGATTAGTTATGATTTTATTTAAAATGAAAAATTTTGTCGCGAGCAACTGAATAAATTATCTTATTTGATTGTAAGGTCTCCTTAAATCCAGTGCGGATCCTCAGAAATGAGGCCGGAGAGGAGAAGGCAGAGATTGCTAGATTAAGCTCGTTTGTTGGAGTTATAGCCATTGGAGACTTGGTTAAATCTACTCTTGGTCCTAAAGGCATGGACAAGATACTTGTATCTCATGGTAGATCCTCAGGACAAGTACATGTCACTAATGACGGTGCTACTATCCTCAAAAGTATTGGCGTTGATAATCCTGCTGCCAAGATTTTGGTAGACATGTCTCGTGTCCAAGATGATGAAGTGGGTGATGGTACTACTTCAGTCACTGTTCTTGGTAAATATGATGTGATTAAGTAAGAAGCAATGCATGTACTGGTCAAAGCTGAATCTCGAATGCTTTTAAATAATTTCATATGAATTTATATACCGCGTTTGTAGTCTCTTAAATTTCGTGCCAAATTAGTTTTCTAGACTTAGAAATGCAACTGAACTATCGTAGTAATATCACAAATTAAATTGATTAGCAATTTAATAATTTGATGCTCAATTGGCATCATTTTAAGAAGTAATTAATGTATTAAAAATCTGCAAATAAATTTATTGCAAAAAATATTACCTTATTCGGTAGTCGAACCTGGATCTCTAGCATTCCGTGCGAGCGTCTTAAACCTTTAGATCACCGAGACCTTAGTAATATTCTTTACAATAATCAATATATGGGAACATGCATCTTTCAGGCAGCGTGTACAAACAATAATAAATTGTTTATTATATAATATGATTACTGATTTGAATTTTCAAATTATTTAATTTTAAATATCATTAAATATTTTTAATAATCTTTAATTCAGTCTTAAATATCTTTAATTTTCTTTTTTTTTTACAGCTGCTGAACTTTTGCGAGAAGCCGAGAAGCTAATCGAGAATCAAAAGATTCATCCACAAACTATCATTAGTGGTTGGAGAAATGCTACAAACGTAGCGACTGAGGCTTTAAAAAATGCAGCCACAGACAATTCTGCAGATCCTGATCGATTTCGAGAGGATTTATTGAATATTGCTCGTACAACATTGAGTTCCAAGATCTTATCCCAGCACAAGGAGCACTTTAGCAAGCTTGCAGTTGATGCAGTGTTGCGTCTTAAAGGTTCTGGTAATTTGTCCGCGATTCAAGTTATAAAAAAACGTGGCGCAACACTTGCTGATTCCTTCTTAGATGAAGGATTCTTATTAGATAAAAAACCGGGTGTTCACCAACCACAAAAAATTTCTGACGCGCGTATACTTATCGCTAATACATCTATGGACATGGATAAAATCAAGGTTTATGTTCCTTCTGTTATGTATATTTTTCTTAATTATTTAATAAACCTATATGTCACATTTATATTTATTTATAGGTATTTGGCTCTAGAGTACGTGTAGATTCAATGGCGAAGATAGCAGAATTAGAAGCTGCGGAAAAAGAAAAAATGAAGGTAATGGACATTTCTAGAAATTTTTCACACATATCTATAAATATCTAATAATTATATAATTTTTTCTGAATCTACACAGGATAAGATTGACAAAATTTTGAAGCACGGCTGCAACGTCTTTATCAATAGGCAATTGATATACAATTATCCGGAACAATTATTTGCTGATGCCGGAATTATGGCTATCGAGCATGCTGATTTTGATGGTATCGAAAGACTCTCGCTCGTTACTGGTGGCGAGATTGTTAGTACTTTTGACAATCCCGATTTAGTCAAATTGGGAAAATGCAATCTTATTGAACAGGTAAATTTACAATTTACTTTTGTAATTCATACATAATATTCCATACTGTGGAGCACTCGATTCTAATACCTGTGTGATTATTAGTTTTGTTATAACTTTAATTATATATCAATTGCGTGTTATATTATTTCAGGTCATGATAGGAGAAGATACACTCTTAAGATTCTCCGGAGTTCCATTGGGTGAAGCGTGCACTGTCGTTATTCGTGGCGCAACGCAGCAGATCATCGACGAAGCCGAGAGATCGCTGCATGACGCGCTCTGCGTTTTAGCAGCTACGGTACGTGAGTCGCGAATAGTTTACGGTGGTGGGTGCAGCGAAATGATTATGGCTTGCGCTGTTATGCGAGCGGCCGCGGCTACGCCGGGTAAAGAGGCTGTCGCGATGGAAGCCTTCGCACGAGCGTTGCAGCAACTGCCGACCATTATCGCCGACAATGCTGGCTACGATTCGGCGCAATTGGTTAGCGAGTTAAGAGCCGCGCATAATTCCGGGGGCAACACCATGGGATTAGGTAAGTTTCTAATTCTTATGCTCTTTTATCGCTAAAAATATTTTTAAGTATATAATAAATTGCGCACGAGTGCTCTAAATGGTTTCAGACAGAATATCAAATTAAATTAAATTTGTTCTCCGATCTTGTACAGATATGGAAATGGGCAAAGTCGGATGTATGAAACGGCTAGGAATCACCGAATCTTGGGTAGTGAAGAGGCAAGTTCTCGTGAGTGCGGCTGAAGCAGCAGAAATGATACTGCGGGTGGACGATATTTTGCGCGCGGCTCCTAGAAAACGCGTGCAAGACAGAGGACGTTGTTAATTCATTCATTTATTAAAAAAAAAAAAAAAAATGTTTATTCTCGCTTTGATTTCATAATTGTCTGCAATTTTTCATACATATGTGGCCTCTTAAATTAATTGTGTTTAATTAACTAAATATTGTGTTAATCTCATTGACGATAACGCATTTGATAATATTAATGTACTAATGATAGTAAGGAGAATATATTCCACTTTTTGAACATTCTGTCATTTATAAATGAATTATATTCCATTTCTCGATCTCTCACAAATAAAGTATTATACAATAAGAAGCACATCTGTGTGTTCAAAATTTTTTATAACATTACAATAGATTCAATATTAATAAATGCTTTGAGATGCAATACTTTACATGAATATTTCACACTAGCAATATACTTTATTCATTTGCTTTATACCCAAGTCATTTTTATAATAACGTACAGATATAAGATTGAAAATGAAGTATATTTTAGTGATAAGGTAAATATTCATTTCACATGCATTTGATTTGTGACCCTATTTTTCTTAAAGTTCTACGAATTTTACTTATTCGGCAATCACAGCCTATGTTCCAATAATAAAAAAAGCAAAAAAGAATAAGACTGGCGTGTCTCGTAAATAAGTTTTATAAATTAACATTCTTATACTATATGGAAAATGGTCACACCATATTGCTAGTATGCTTACTAAACTAGTTGATGCATTTCATTGATTATTTAAGTTTATGACTATATATTCTTATATAATAGTCATCAATACTCCTTTATTGGAGGTGTCTTTATGAATAAGTTTTGATGGAATTATTCCAACACAGAGACCATTCTGGAGCATAACCACGTTATTTGAAATCCTTCATTAAAGCGGATTATACATTCAGTTAACAAAAAATTGGTCTTTAACTTGACTGAAGTACTAAAAAAAGTATATAAATCTCCACCAGATGACGCAAAATGTCTACAATCTTAATAATCAATTGATTAATACGCGAATCGTAATTTAGTATCGTAGCCAAGTTTATCAAGGTTCGGAGTACAAGCGAAATTGATCATTGGAGGTGGCCCACACATAAGTACGATAGTGTCGGGTGACGGTGGAAACATGTGCTTTTCTATCATATCAGTGCTTATATATCCTGTACTGTAAGGCCATTCATCGCTACTTGAATCTAACGTATACCAAAGTTTTAATTTATTCGGATACTTCTTAGCGATTTCATCTAATTCGTCTCGTAACAAGATATCTTTTTCTGTTTGATTGGCGAACAGTAAAGAGGTTTGAGTTTCGTCCGTAGGATCTTTTATTATTGCACGAATTAGTTGCAGCATTGGCGTGATACCCGTACCACCAGCGAGCATAACCATCTGTACAAATTTTTATTAACATATGTAACAGAAGAGTTGTTTTTAATAATGATAATATATATATATATATATTAACAAAATAAAATTATATTCTATATTATATATACATATGTATATATAGCAGCAAATGTATGTACTTGCCTTTTTAACATTATATTCCACAGCTGGTTCCTTTCTAAGAAGTTTTATAGTGACCTTTCCCTGTCCTTTGTAAATTAGTCTACCAGATGGACCTCTAAAGTCAATGGTATCCCCTATGTTCATATTTTCCAAGTATTGAGACATTTTCCCTCCTTCAGGGAATTTTGGATGTACATTTTTGAAGTATACCTATAAATCACGGTATCAAAACAGATTTTCTTTCATTATCACCAATCCTGTATTCTCACTTTATACCTTGATAACCAGATCAACGTAGCCTCGATTATCATCACTTGATACAGGCGTATACGAACGTATCACAACCTCTTCTCCAATTTTTGCTGTTAAATGTACATGTTGACCAATTGGCAGACCCAGGACATGATTTGATGTAGGTAATTCAAATCTAAATTTCCTTGTATCGTGACTTATTATGTCTTTTTGAATTAGAGGTAGACTATACTTAACTACTGGATCAACCAGTAGTACTGGTGCAGACTTTTTCTTCTTTTCACTCCAGGTTTTATATATTTTAAATGCTACTCCTATAACAACTATCGTTCCTACCGCAGCCAAAATTGGCAACACCTAGAAATATAAAATTTTATTTTAACATACATAACACGTACAACATTCTTACAGTTTTAATTTTGATGAAATTTTATCTTCTTTTTTTTAAATACAAACATGAATTTGATTTTTCACATTTAAAAAGTGCTGTAGGTACAGATTTTGTCAAATTTTTAAGATTTTTGTAGATTAAGCCTTTCAAGAAGTGATTATACAAATAAATAATGTCGTATATAAAAATTAATATTTGCACAAAAGTTTTTTATAGAACAATCCATACATAATTAATTAATAAGATGCTTCAGGGAGAAATATCTCTAAAATTAAAGTTTCCTGACTAAATCATCGTTTAAAAAAAAAACACCACGCTTATGTGCAAAGTACAAATTGTCGCTGGCGATAATCGCGTAACAATATCGTGATTGCACGATGGTACGCAAGATCGGATCGGTCGAAGCGAGTCTTACCAATGTTCGTACATTCGACATTGCAGTTGCACGTGGACCGGACCGAGAGGTTAAAGGATAGCGCAGAACAGCGCGGAGGAAATTGTACTACGGACTACGGAGACGCTCAGAGACGCTTGGCGCGAATAGGCGAGCTCGCGTGATCGAGATTGCAGATCGACTTTCGCCTTGGGCGATGATTCGCCGGCGTCTGTGCCGTCTGTAGGGTCAACGGGACGAGTGCCGTCGATTCCGGAACTCGCTCCGATCCGTTAAAATAGACTCGGCTTCTCGCGTTTTCGGAATAGGAACATTAGGCACGCGTATTTATAGCCGCATTACCCGCAGCAATGTATTATTACGCTGAAAACGCGTGCCTTTTTGTCATCGGCTGATCGACATGTGAGAGACTGTCCCGGGTCTTACTGCATACTTATCAATACCTATTAAGTATACATATCTCGATGCATTATCACTAGTTTCGTACAATCAGCGAGGAATACGAATGCGAACGTTATAGCCCTATAAGCGCATAATATTATTTAATATTAAATAATATTTTAGGCATATTCTCAGAATATTAAATATAACATTTTAATAATATTTTACTAAAATTATATAATATTAAATAATATTCCTGAAATATTAATGGATGGTTATATGTCCACTCCTAATAATGATTATCTCCTATTATATGATTATTAAAAGTAACATTTATTTAATGTTACTGTAATATCGTATAAACATTAGAAAATATTAGAACAGCATTTACTTTAATTTGTAAAACTGTTACATCTGTTCAGTATAAGTATACGTTTAAAAATTAAAAATGATTTTTGCTCTCAGTTGTAGAACTGGATATGTACTTAAAATCATGTTGAAACGTTTTTTTAGCACAAGATGCAGCATAGACTGATAAGAACTTTTCGTTACTTATAATATTTTCGAAATATTATAATAACGTTATTTTAATTTTTTTTTTAATAATATTCATGTAACATTCTAGGAACATTTTGCGCTTATAGGGAGACTTAACGCTGCTTTTCGCTTGTATGTTCTATTATCTTATATGTTTTATATCTTTTTTTTCTTTTTTCGAAATACCTAATTATCTTAATTTATGCCGGTTATATATAGATATTGATATGGTTTATTTAGAGCAACTGAATTAAATTTTAATTAACTAAATTGGCAGAATTCATTTCAACATTTTTAATTATATTATAAATTCATCGTCTCTAATCCGATTTTTCCTTCCTTGCATTAAGTAACAAAAAATTGATAATTCTATTCGCGTTTATAAAATATTATATAAATGCTGTTTTAATAAACTAATTGCCGATAAGTTAACAAGCACTTGTAATTGCATTTTGTCTTCTTTTCTTTTTTCTTTTGATCTCCAAGAAATTTAACATTAAATTATACATTAAAATAATTGCATTTATTTTATTTTAAATATATTACAATTTGTTAATATATATATATATATATATATATTCATGTGATTATCGTCAAGTCAGACGAATTATCAAACATCAGACGATTAACAATCGATTCTACATTCAATTCTTTTCTTATCTTTTGATTATGTAAAAACTGCGCCGCGTGGTAAGTATTGCTGCGTTTTAATTGCGTGCGAGAGTTATATATAACTTTTTCTTCCATTATGCTTATATCGTGATACATTAATTTTTAAGACACAAATTACATGCTCACGTAACATCTCGCGAAGCGTATTTCGACGTAATGATTTATCTCTATCGATATAAAATATATATTATATTAGGGCCTCTACAATACTCTACAATTCGCAAATCGCAAAACGTAGTTCGCAAATGCTGATGCAGACGATTATCGCAAGACACACACAGATTGCGTTCCCTTTCACGCATGATGTTCATGATGCACCTTTTGTTATTCTCACCGAATGTTAAACAAGAATAAATGATACACATTATGCGTGAAACGGAACGCAGCCATAGACGAAAACCAATTGCATATAATGAAAAAACCAACGCAAATCTTCATTCTGCGTTTGCGAATTATGTAGAAGCACCTTTTATTATACGTATTATGTAGAAGCACCTTTTATTATACGTACTTGAGAATCAATTATTGCTTTCATATTTTTTACTCCAATTTCATTGAAAGACGCGCGCGCGCACACAAGAAATTTCTGCGAGTTGCTCGATGCACGTTATATATATTATTCAATTAATCAGATTTATTCGTGATGAGAGACGAACAAGGAGTGAGAGACTTGTGTTCTCTCGAGTTACGTCAAGAAATGTATTACATCGTTATCGTCGGCAGTGATGTAATTGCAATATCTTCTACCCACCTTTCTCATTTTTTCACGAAGAGAGATAAAGCGTTTTTCGAAGCCAATTTAAACAATGCCGATTTCGATTACTTTATTTTCTATGGCGTGTTTTGATAATATTAAAAGTATTAGTTATTTTAAAATAATATGATAATACGCTATAAAAAATTATGATCAATGTGTGATGTAAATAAATTCTTAGCTACGTTTCTCTCTTCCTTTTTTCTCCTTGTATTTTAATCTCCTTTTTTTTATTCCTCTTTTATTCTTTTATTTATATTAATTGTTCTTACATTTTTCTTTCCTGCTTCTATAATTTTTTTTTCTTTTATTCTGAAAATCTCTCTGGCCACGAAACATGTAGCAACGTATTATGCTTGTAAGATACGCGACTGTTATTTAATAATCTCACAGTAACGATTCTTCGTATGAGTGATTCTATTGTTGGCTGTTGATAATAACGGTAACGCACATTACATAACTGACTTTACTTTTCTTGGACAATTCAAGGATGTAACAGATATTTTGTAATCAAAATTCCTACGTTCTAAACTTAATATCCTTATCTTTTTTTTTTTCTAAATTATCTGTCACCCTATGAACTGAATTTCTCGACATTGCATTCTTGTTGCATTGCATTCTTTTCGCGCATTAATTTAGATCGTGCATTTAGGGGTGTTTTCACGACGATATATAGAGCGAGAAAATTAAAAAAAAATGTAATTACAATACAGTATATTTATTCTACTTGTTAAAAGATAGAAGTAGTAAAAATAATTTAATAATTAAATAAACCAAATTCTATTGAGTAAGGAAAAGATATATAACTGCATCTTTTGTAGATTGGAAAGAGAATTCAGAATAAAGACATGAATTTAAATTATGTTTTCAGAATAGGAGAAAATTTGACTTTAATTTGTAAATAATAATTATTATCACCTTGACATGAAAAATACAATTAAAGGTCACTGTAAATCGTTGTCATAGGCTGCGTTCAGCAGTTTTGCAACCGTTTTATGATTGTCTGCTGAGATAGGACCATTCTTCTAGATCTAAAAGTATGATCCAATCAGCGCGAAGGAAACTTCCAACAGTTGTAAAACAAACGTTCTGCTGAACGCAGCCATATGCAACGTATAAATTAATAGTGCAACTCTATATTCTTAGAATATTAAATGTACATTTAATATTCTAAAAATATGCTTAAAATATTAAATAATATTATGCGCTTATAGGGAATGAATATATATATAAAGCCTTAAGAAATAGGGAGGTCTATAATAACGATCAAAGCTGGATGTTTAAATATAATAATTCAATGTGAATTATATATATATATAAACACACACGCACACGCACACACACACACACCGCACACACACACATGTACAGGATGATCCAGAACAATCTAGGTGTTCCTGAAAAGACATATTCCTGACTTAATTCTAAGATAATTTTCCTTTTACCCCAGATCTACAATAGGGTTTTAAGCCTTAAGCCATAAGAAATGGGCGAATCACAGTCGATTATTCCCCTCGGATTCGACTGTAATTGGTCAATTTCTTACGGCTTAAGTCTTAAAACATCTATTGTAAATCCGGACTTACGAAAGTTTTGTCTGAAGCTTACAACGACATTTCCTCACTACCACCTCTAGCATAAGGTTTGTCGCGTCACATATGCTCCAACACGTTCCAATATGCTCCTACCATAGCTTTTACTCACTCCAATGCGCTTGATAGAGTGAGTAGGAGCTATGGTAGGAGTACGTTGGAACATGTTGGAGCATGCGACGCGACAAACCTCTTAGGGTGAAATCACACGGTGTGGAAAAAGACTGCGGAATAGAGAATGCGTCATTGAAGCAACCAATCAGCGCTATTCTGAATAGCGCTGAATAGCGTTGATTGGTTGCTTCAATGACGCATTCTCTATTCCGCAGTCTTTTTCCACACTGTGTGATTTCACCCTAATTGGTGACTTTTTCTGCTTTTCCGTCAAGGTGTGAACGCGCCTTTATTTCTTCTATTGTGGGTGCACCCAAAGACATAATAGAGAATGGACTGCATGATCCGTGGTCAAAATGGTCGATAAAAGTAAGAGATAGGGACCGTCAATCTGTATCTCTTTCCATTTAATGGTATAATGGGAAAGAGAATGAGAGGAAGATTGGTCGTCTTCTTCACGGTTTCTCTCTCTCTCTCATTATTGTCGATCATATTTGATACGGATCGCGCTCGCGCACTGCGCAGTCCATTCTCTGTTTTTGCCTGTAGCATGTTTGTCGCTAAAGGTTAGAATTGTCAAAAGTTATCAATACAAATGCATAAGCTTTATGAGAAGCTGTGTATATAGTTAATTAAAAATTCATGGCGGTTTTACATCGCGCTTTGTTCACTTGGTTCAATTTGCTCATATTCTTGATCTTACTTGTTTTGAGGCTTGATCAAAGAATACAATGGAATTGGTTCATAATTTTCATTCCAATGTGGCTTTACGACAACATTCTCCTTATTTATATTGCATTTAATATGATTTCGTACTGCAAGAATGTACGTAACTTTAGTTTGAAGCGAGAAGTAAGTGTTTTATAATTTGATAAGACAAAATAAGATAAAATTTTCTTTTATCCTCTTGCGATTGAAAATATTTTATTCCAATTTTTTTTTTCGCGTACATTTATTTTATAAAAGTAATATTTTATGTAAAGAAAGAAACGTAATAATTAAGAAATATTTCTAACAATATAAATCTTCAGTTAATTAAGTAAAACCAAATTTTAATGTACAGTATAATAAAATTGTTTCAGACGCGGTACATGATAGCTGTGATCTTGAAACTGTGTGCACAGATTTTGATTTGTTTGAAATTAGAGGCCCCTCACTGGTCTCTACCAGCCAAAGCAGTACTGGCACCATTCTGGGTACTTTTTCCAATATTAGCCATAGATGTTATTTACCATTTAATGCTACAAACTACATATTAATAATGAATGAACTTGTTTATTTAAAGTTATTTAAGTATGTGTATATATCATATTAATAAAAAATTATTTTGTAAGTGTTACTTGTTGTACATAATCAATTATTTGATAAACTATTTTTATAAATTATTCAATTTATATTCTAACATTATTGTATTGAATAATAAAATATTATATAAGTTTATTTTGTATGCCTCAATTTAAATGTATATAAAATATAGAAATATTTTTTATATCTGTATATCTGTTTTATTCATTCATTCATTCATTTATTCAAACATAAGGCAAGGTTTTCTTTGGTAAGATTAAATTGATTTATAGCACAGGATCTGAGAACATATAGCAATTTTGAAGTATAGATCTAGTCTACTATAAATACTTAGTATTGCACAAGGCCGAATAGGACAGAGTTAAAAATAAGTAACTCCATGACAGTGCCTGTAGCAATCTTCTCATCAGTAAATGAGTGTTTCCAATTTATAATTAATAATTTATATAAATGCTATTGTCGGTGAATTTAATTGCATAGAAAAAATAGAAGCAAGTTACCAACTGTTTGCAAGAGAGAGGAAGAGAGAATTGTTTTTATGATTACACAACATTCACTTAAGTCTGATCGTGTATAATTATTGTGACAACCATCTGTGAATAACAAACTGGTTTTGCAGTAATTGTGAAAAAAAGGTGAGATGTAATTAGAATATAATCATGAAAGAAGAAGATAGACTAGTAATATCTAACAGTTTGCTAATATTGATTGTGGCAGAATATAATAATTGAACGTATTTCTATATAAGTTTTATATTTTCTTGGATATATTTTCACTTTTTTACATATACACATATAATTTTATATATAGAAGAAATTGTTTTCCTCTCTTTCTCTCTAACTGTAAAATAATCTATACAAGTATATTTGATATCGATTTTTAGGTGACAATGTGGCTTTTTATACTTTTTTATTCAGCATTTATATTACAAAAATCCGAAACTGCAAATGACGTACAGATTGTAACAGTGAAAGAAGTGATAGCTGGACACTTGGCTGAACTCCCATGCTTAAGTATTGATGAACATCATCGTTTCATGTTCTGGCAATTTGGAACTAACAATGTTATTGGTCCAGGGAATCCTTTAAATGAAAAGAAATATAATTATGAAGTACTGACTGGCATACTTCAAATTAGAGTATGTTTTTAAAATGTATCATATACTCTAAAATTTTTCTCTTTTAAATAACAGTTAATATTTAATAAGATGTATTATCAAAATTATATTTATAATTAGGGTGTATCAACAGCAGAATCTGGATTTTATAAATGTTTTTCAAAAGGTTTATTTGACGATTCTCAATTAAAAGTTCATTCTGTTGAATTAATAGTTACAAACGACTGGGAGCAACTTTGGGAAAATGATTTTGAGGTATTTTAATACACATAACATATATATACATACATACATATATGTACATTACATAAAAATAATCACAAGCTTGTATTTTATTAAAATGTATATTTGAATAGACAAATCTGTTACGGGGAATGACTGCTGTTATGGTACTAGTGGTTGCTGTAGCTGTTGTTCTTCTAATTATTACTGTTAAGAAAAAAAGAAGTCAAAGATTCTTTGGTAATTTTTTATAAAAATTAACGAATAGAAAGAAAATGCATTTTCATACTGTGTGAAAATATGATTATCTTTTATATATAATTATTTTTACAGATCTCGAGGAGTCGAGAGAAAATTCTCCAGCACGCTATACACCAGATAATGCACCTGGTGTTTCATCACGCGTCGAGAACGTTGGAATAGATAACGCTGTTCTTGATATTGATTTTCCTAAAGTATTTAATCAAATGCAGAAGGAGCAAGCAATGCCATAAGTTTTAATTGTATTGTGTATATCATGAAATTATATTATTTTAGTGTTTTATTCTTAAGTGTATATTTTGCAATACATGTATTTTAGAAATATATATCTTATAATTTATTCAAAATATAATTATTATTTAAAATAAATAAGTTTAAAATCGATTTTGAGAAATAACTGAAATAAATCAAAATTTTTCAATTACACGAAAAGTTATTATTTAGAATCTTACATAATCTTTTTGCATATATAAATTATATATATTCATACCTTAAATATATTTTACTTCAGTTGTTTTCTTCCTTGTAGAATTGTTGTACGTCAGTTTTTGTTTCTACAGGAAAATGTGCACTAGGTGTGGTATCCATTATACCTTCCACAAAACGTCCTTCTTCCTCCTCTTCATCTTCCTCATCTTCAGGTTCCGCTTCAGTTTCGAGTAAACGAATCTTTCTATTATTTTCATTCAAAATAGCAGCTACTTTCCGAGAGCCACTGACTGCTAGTCGTCTCGCAGATATTCCTTGAAACGGTTTCGGCCACGTTGCACCGATGATGTCGGTTATCGATATTATTGCCTCATTATCTTGATATTCAAGCGTACTATGTAATGGCATTTGTATGAGAAACGATGCATGAGTTTGTTTATTTAATATAAGCAAACTAAGATAATCTTGCGAGTAAAATTGCAGATCTACTATCACAGTATCGATGTTTTCTTTTGAACATTCTCCTAGATGTGCAGAAAAGTTAATTATTCTTATAACGTAATGGAGAAACAAATTAATTATATTATAATTGTATGTAATACAATTCAGCTACTAACCTTGCTTTTGCGTCACATCTAACGTAACCATCTTTGAACTAAGAGATATAGGATCTATAGACGAATATTTTATGTTAAAAAGTCTTAACAATTTGCTGTCAGTCTCGCTCATAGCTAACAAAAAATTTCCATCGCTTGTTACAGTTTGCGAACACATGAAAAATGTAAATGATGGCAAAGAGACGGAGATCATCACAAAGTGATCAACTAAGCTTTGATAGGCTTCAGCAAAAACATTTTCTACAGCGGCGACTAATTTTACATGAGACTGTAGTAAAGATAAATTAAAATTCTGCTTTACTATATGTGCATAATTGTGCAAGCAATCATTTGTATCGAGCAAAGCAGCCCATTCGCTTCCTTCCGAAGTCAGGGGAGTCTGCAGATTTTCATGACGCAAATATTGACCCAATTTTTCTAAATTTACTCTACCGTTTGCTTTTTCTGCTGACTTACACGACTTACTTCTGATGGTGCTCTTTCATCCGTTAGTTGAAGAATGGCTACATACAACCATCTATAAATATAATAAGAAATTAAAAATGAATTATTAAATATACATAAGTTAATTAATCATTCAATTTTTGACTCATATACCGGAAAAATGCTTTATAATTGCGCATACTCTGGTCTATAACTTGCTCGATTTCATACGATTTTGCCAAGAAAGCTTCAGATTCATTAATGGCATTAGTTACAAGTGTTTCATCACGTAGTCCTAATGCTTCATATGTGCCACCTACTCTCACCATACCTCTCAATTCAGCTAATTGATAAACCAAGGCCATACCAACACTAGTTAAATTTTTCGAGACTAGTTTCTGTGAAAATAATCTCTTTACATTCTAAACTTGTATGATACACATAATTAAACTAAAAAAAAAATATTTCTCAACATACTTGTATATTACTGTAACACATTTCAATACTATGTCCAAATTTTTTTAATCCTTTCTCTGTGAGATCTCTAAGTAGAAAAGTTTCTAAATTTTTCGTAGGTATTCCAATCATTAGTAGTTCTAAAAAGTCTGCAGACATACTACCAGGTGGATTTGCTTCTGCATATCGTGCGAGTTTTTCATCCATTTCCAAGAGTATTGTCTCCCAAGCTTCGCAAGTAGCCATTAAGGTTCGCGAGAGATAATCTTTCAAACATTCTACATTAGCTTGAGTTTGCGCAACCTGAGAATAAAATATATAAATTGACTTAATTTTTTTTTTTAAATTTTAAATTGTTATACACAATACTTAAGAAAATAATGCCTTTTGTTTTAATCTTTACTATGAATTACTCACAGCATATATATATATATATATATCATTCTCAAGATACCTTGAGAAACGCTGTTTTTTTAAATAATGAACAAGATATTCTAGTTGTCTTAACACAATTATTATCCTTCCATGTGATCCATATCGGATTATTAGATCCACCTGTGATTTGCAAGATTGGTCCAAGGCCTACAGTTATAGTGCCGCAATAAAACATGCCAAAAATATACATTAATGCTGTGCCATCTTTTTGACCAATCTATAAAAAATCCATATAGCTATTAATCATAAAGTTACAAATGCTTTGTCTATTAGGATTGTGCTTTACGATATTTACAAAGAGCATATCCAAAATATGAGACAGAAATTCTTTCCGCTCAGGTTCTGCGCTATAACTTCTGATTAAACTAGGCAGAGGTGGCAGATATTCGCCTGTAGGTTTATTAGTTTTATCACTTGTTAATGAACCTTCATGTTCAGAATTAGACAGCGGCAACCACTTAACACAAACAATCAATTCATTTGTAGACAATTTAGTTTTGTGAATGATATTTTTAGTTTCAACATCAACAAGACACAATAGCTTGGAAATCTCATAGCACACCGCAAGCAGCTTTCCATCTGGTCTCCATGCCAAATGGACAGTGATATCAGATTCATCTTGAGGACTCAACAACCATACTCTTTGCCATGTGAGTCTATGAAGGACGACTTCACCTATAAGAATATTTTTAAAAATTTTCCCAATATTCGTTAAATATCTAAGTTAAAATTAAATCAAGTAATTAATTCTGTTTTATTCACGAATAATTATAAAAAGGAGAAAAATAAATATTAACTTTAAACAATACCTTTACAATGTTAACTTTTAAATCTAACCTTTGATGTTGCTAATTGCTAAAAGATCCATCTTCGGTGACCACAGCATCGTCGTCACCTCTGCAGGGAGCTGACGCTCCTCCAACTGTCTCATGGCCCCAGCCATATCTCGGACTTTCTTTTAAATACAATAGATGACATAAAATCCTCACCAGGCAAATGTCTAATCAAAGCAGGTTACTTCAATTACACGTGTACGAAACTTGTCTCTTCTTCTTCTGATTTAGCATGGCGCTCGTCAATGAAATGACGGCGAATCCGGCTAGACGAAATTTATATTTACTACGACTTGCTCACGTTTTCCAACGTTCGCATAACTTACAATTAGAGAAAAACCGTTTGTGTACAAACATTATATCACATGGATGCGTTCCGTTTCAATATGGACGCATAGGGTGTATTCAGTACCACGACCGCTCACTGAGCGCTCAGTGAGCTCTTATATCTGTGGTCTATATTTTTATATATATATATATATATATATATATATAGTTCTAACGGAATATGCCAATAATCTTGGGCCCCAAGATGAAAACACGTTAAATGTTTTCCAAAGTAAAATTTTATTTAAAAACTGATTCACGGACGACCTGACCCGATATTTTTGGAAAAATTAAAATTTTGCGGAATATCTATATGGAATATATATAGAACATTCTCGGAATATGTATCCGGCAAACAATAAATATTCTTGAAATATTCATCAAATGTTCCTAAAATTCCAAAAAAAAAAAAAAACATTTTCGAGTAAAGTTTTGAGCCCATGCATGTTTCAGCCTCGAGTTTGGTCTCCTTTTTACTCTATGTTTTTTTATATAAATATTACTGATATTGAATAATAACAAATGATGATTTTATCTCTCTCTCTCTCTTTGTTTTTACCGTTTTCGACCGTTAGTCGATTTATATCTCTTGATAGGCAGTATCGAGTTCTAACGAGAGATAACGCCACCATGCTGCTTTGGGCCGATACTTTGCGCGCGTAAAAATAGCAGAGGTACGGAACTGGAAGTCGTACTTTTTTGAAATTTAGGGTCTGTACTGCGGTTTCATTGCTCGTCTTATTTCTCCACGTTATATTTTCGCATTATAAAGTATTGCAGCACAGGCTGCGCGAAATGTGCCGAGATATCGTAAAATTTCGTTGTCGCATGTGTGCAAAGAATTAAAGAAAGAATATAAATGCATCAGAGTTTCCTAGTTTCGTATACAAGTACAAATCGCCATGTACGTATTTGAGGTTACTTTTATTTACGAGGGTCAATTTACAATACATTCTAAATTTTTTATTCATGCTCGTTTGTTTCGAGCTTACACGGTAAAATACATTGTATTTATGTTAAAACGAATCCTTGTTAAAATTCTTGCGTTGAATTTTTAACATATCTGAGTATTAATTTAACATAATGTGATTTACAATTGTATTATTTGAACATTTTTCCAGCAAACGCTAAATATTCTTGAAATATTCATAAAATGTTTAAAATCCCGAAAAAACATTCCAAAAATGCTCCAAAATATTTCGAATATTTACGGAATGTAAAAGAAACATTCAAATGTCGGTTAAAAATTTAATTTATATAGTTAAGGCCATCACACGTACAAAAATTTTAGTCGGAATCATAAGGTCGCAAGCAAATCGACCAATCGCAATCAAAATTAAGATTATTAATTATCTCGCGTTTTTAAATGCTCGACTGTGATTGGCCGATTTACTTACGGTCTTACGATTACTAAAATTTTTGTACGTGTGATGGCCTTTACCCAGCTAACGCTAAATATTCTACATCTGCCAGTAGCGGGATTCTCTAAACGTCTTATCGATGATTGTTGCTATAGTTAACTTGCGACAGTCAATGTCAGGACAATCCTGGAAGAAAGCGCGGCTCTCATTGGCTGTCGTTAGTTAACGATAGCGACAATTGTCGATAAAACGTTTAGAGAATCCCACAACAGGCTACTGATGTTAATAAGGGCCATGGCACACAAAAAAAACTTAAGCAGTAAAACGTAAGCAGTAAGAGAATTGACTAATCACAGTAGAGTCCGTAAAGCCCATGGCACATACAAAAACGTAAGGCCGTAATACGTAAGCAGTAAAGAAATCGTAAGATTGGATTCGCTACTGGCCTTACGGTCTCTATTGTGATTGGCCAATTCGCTTACTGATTATGTCTTACGGCCTTACGTTTTGTAATGCCCATGGCACATACAAAAACGTAAGGCCGTAATACGTAAGCAGTAAAGAAATCGTAAGATTGGATTCGCTACTGGCCTTACGGTCTCTATTGTGATTGGCCAATTCGCTTACTGATTATGTCTTACGGCCTTACGTTTTTGTATGTGCCATGGGCTTAAGGCATATTCAATTTCTTACTCTTACAGCCTCATCCATTACTATGGTTGATTAATTTCTTACGGCTTTATGCGTGGTCTACAATGGGCAGTAACAGTAGTGAATTAAGGAGTAGGTGCAGAAATCGACTAATCATAGTTGAATATCTTTCTCACATTCGATTATGATTGGTTGATTTCTGCGTCTACTCCTTAATCCACTATTGCTACTGCCCATTGTAGACCACGCATTACGGCTTATGCGTCGTCTACAATACACGGAGTAAGAAGTAAGAGTAAGAAATTGACCAATCACAGTCGAACGTGAGAAGAATAATCGACTGTGATTGGTCAAATTCTTACTCTTACTTCTTACTCCGTGTATTGTAGACGACGCATAAGGCGTCGTCTACAATATGCGAAGTAAGTTTGATTTAAGAAGTAAGAGTAAGAAATTGACCAATCACAGTCGATTATTCTTCTCACATTCGACTGTGATTGGTCAGTTTCTTACTCTTACTTCTTAAATTAAATTTACTTCGCATATTGTAGACGACGCTTATGGAGTAGTTATTCCAACATGTTGATTTCCTTACTGCTTACGTCTTACTGTCTTAAGTTTTTTGTGTGCCAAGGCCCAACTGCCGGGCAGCACTGATGTTAACTTTCAAGAACTATAAAAGTGGCTTGCACTAAAGAACGGATTTTTTCTTTCTATCCCGTGTCTCGCGATGTGGTTTATATAGGCGTTTTTTTGGAGGTAGTTCTTTGGTAGGATGCGTCTAATTGAGAAATTTAGGAATCAGGTTCATAGGATTTTAATATGGTAACAGTTTTAACTGGTCATTGGGAAGTTGGCCCTTAAGTTAGCTCCGCCCACGTTGTAAGTTTTTATTTGCTCTTAAAGTGCATTCACATGCAAGCGTCAAGTAGCGGAAGCAGCAACCAATGCTTGACGCTTGCATGTGAATGCACCTTTAGGCATTAGCGAGTCGGCGCGTTTAAAAAACGTTAAGTCAATACGAAGTCAGCGCGAATCAACAGCCTGGTTTACACCGTGAGCTTAGTCCGCGACCTATACGATAGATGTCTTTGTTCGACCTACAGGTTAAACAAGGACGTCCATTTAAATCGCGGACTAAGCGCACTGTGTGATCGTAGCCAACGAACGCAAATAACAAAAATAGTGCGAGAATCAATAGAAGTCAATGGGCGAGTTCAAGATGGCAAAGCAGCTAGGCATACTTATCGAGCGATTGAATATGATTGATTGGATCTATAAGTAATACCCAATTATGTTCATTTGCTCGGCGAGCAGGCTAGCCGCTTTGTCAACTTGAATGCGCCCAATGAAAATAAGGAGCGGGTCAGCGAGAGAGAGAGAGTCGAGCAACGATGATTGTTTGACTCGAGAGTGAAACCCGAGGTGCCCCTTGGTTCCTTGGGAAGCAAGAAGCGTAAGTCATAAACTACGTTTACACCGTGCATTTAGGCCGCGGCCTATACAATAGATGTCCTTGTTTATCCTGTAGGTTAAACAAAGACATCTATCGTATAGGTCGCGGCCTAAGCGCACGGTGTAAACGTAGCCATAATTTTGTTGATTTTTCTGATATCGAAAGATGTCATTATTAAATTTATGACCCTTTCTTAAGTCTATGCGTATTATCATTAGACGTGCGTGATATCGGCGTGAGATGATTCAACATTTCGATTCGTGTTATCGATTGAATTTGTTCATATCTTTATTTTATTGTTCGAACGCTCGCGAAACGAAGAAATCATGGAGTCCATTGGACGTAACACTATTATAATCTCGTTTTTGAGAAAAGTCTATGGTAAGATTTGTGTGAAGTTTAGTCAAAGAAGTGTCTCCGAATTTTATTTATCACTAAGTTATACGTGAAAAGTTACATCTTCAATATTTTTTTCTCTCTCATTTCATCGTTAGTCTTCATAGAATTTTGTCGTCAATTATGATACTTCAACTTTATTATGTGAAAAAATTAGACATTTCTAACTCGATTTACTAAAGAATCACTTTAAACTTTTTTTGTTGATAACTTTTAGACGAAGGACGATCACTAACTAAAACCTGTTGTCATCACTCAGGGTCATGATCTTGATAACATCAAGGTCATCGGAGATGAAAGATCAAGACCTTGGAATTGGATTTCCTTTTGTCGATATTTATCTAAAAATCTAAATAATTATTGATGGTTTTATTTTTAGATAGGGAAGAAGGTAAACTTCTGATTTCGCTATCGATTGGTATATTACTGTATTTTAATGTGCTGATAAAGAATGTGACCATGAAAATTGGTGATAAGGTCATTTTCAAGATCAATTGTGAAAAAATATAAAAAAAGTTTTTTATGTATATTTTGACCTTGAAAATGACCTTGTCTGTAATTTTTATAATTATATTTATAATCAGTACATCAAAATACAGTAGTACATCAATCGATAATAAAATCATGGGTTTCATCTTTCTTCGGAAGTTATACACTCATTCTGATTAGTTGATTCTCTTATGTTTTATGTGTTATGCAAAAGTCTGTGCTCTGGTCCTCACACGCGACACTCGAATATAAATCTTTGATTAATAGATAATTAAAATTTCTTATTGCCAATTCGCATGATAATTCAGTTCTCGTGTGCATTTCAGGCGTGCATCGAATCTTGCTTACACGACGAAACCGATGACGTTCTCTAACGTGCAATGAGCGCAGGTAGCGATATAGGTGACAGGAGACATACGGGAAGATGATAAGGACCGCCTCGCCGCGCCGTACCGTTGTTTAGGTCTGTTAGGCTGCGTTGCGTTGTCGCCGTCTCCGGACGGCACGGAGATATCGCTTCGTATCAACAGACTATTCTATTGTAACTCGCTTACATATACCTACGTGTATACGTACGTCTGCATCCTGCAGAATGCGCGCATTCGCGCGAGGCGACTGCATATCGCCGATCGTCGTCGACGTGCGTGTAAATTCAACGTGTTAAATCAATTGCTCGTGGGTATCCCCTCGTGT